CGTAGACAGTAGTTTGTCAATAGCGTAGATCCCTGCTACTTCTTTCTTGGAAAAATCAGAGGGGGTCTTCATCAGCATGGACATTGTGTGGTCTCTACAATATTCAACAACGACATTGTCATGGAAGCCACTGGTGCTCAAGTTTACACACAAGTCGTGCAACCTGTAAGCACGTCGTGTGGCAGTTAAGCATGGCACAATATTCAGCAGCCATGGCACAAAATCACAGAGACATGTAGAAGCCTCTACTGGTGTTGGCCAGGACGAGGGAACCCCATCCTTTTGTGTTGTTTAATTTCTTGTAGTATTAGCCTAACACACGGATGGTATTTAGTTCTGGATTTCTCTCACCCCCACTCCTGACTCCTGACAGTGATGTGCAGTTAACTATAGTTAACTATATGCATACTCTTCTCCACCAATCCAGGCAGCTGGCCAATTTTGTCAATTCATGTTTCAGTCGCTTTGAATTCTAATCCTGGAAGTCATCATCCGCGTGCTATCCCACATCCACATCTAAGAAGCTATAAATAGCATAGGCCCCTGCTAGTCCTAAGAAGGAAAAATCAGAGGGGTCTTCATCTGCATGGACATTGTGTGGTCTACAATATTGACCTGCAACATAATACTGTCATGGAAATCCCTGCTGCTCAAGTTTACACGCAAGTCATGCAACTGTACATTGAAAGACAATCGCCAACTCATACCAACTGTACATTGAAGACAATCGCCACTCATATCACTGTAAGCACATAATGGTGGCAGTTGAGCATGCCACAAAATTCAACAGCCATGGCACCAAGAGTTGAGTGTATTATTTCGTTGTGAGGTGACACCAAGAGGTGGATACCATAAATATCATGCATACCATTGGGTATCCTGCACCAAGATCGAACACACATCCATCCCAAAAGCACCCATGGGCACAATTCAACTCTCCTGCATCCAGATAGCCATAGGCTTGCTCTTCCTCACTCAAGCCAAGAGCACCAAAGAGGAGACATCTGCCCATCGAAACTATACCATCACCAGCTGTATTTCGGACGAGAGGTCTGCCCTTGTCACCTTCAGGGCAGGCCTCTCAGACACTGCAAACCGTCTTTCATCATGGAAGGGCGGTGACTGCTGCCAATGGAAGGGCGTCCACTGCAGCAACATTACCGGCCGTGTCATCAGGCTCGATCTCCATGGACCAGATTGCCACAACAGCATTGTGCAGGTGCTTGGAGGTAACATAAGCTCCTTGCTGCTTGGTTTACAACACCTACAGTATCTCGACCTCAGCTGCAACAGGTTCGAGTTGCAGATACCAGAGTTCTTAGGCTCCCTCTACAACTTGAAATATATAGACCTATCAAATTCATACTTCGTTGGAAGGGTACCCCCACAGCTTGGTAATCTCTCCAACCTGCGTTACTTCAGTCTTGATTCCACTCTTGGTGACACATACTCCAGGGATATCACGTGGTTGTCCCGGTTAACTTCCCTTCAACACCTAGACATGACATTTGTAAACCTTAGTACAATTGCTCATTGGCTTCCGGTTGTGAACATGCTTCCATTTCTAAAAATTCTCCGTCTTGGATATTGCGATCTTACAAGCAGCCCTGATTCTCTTCAGTTTTCAAATCTGACATCTCTTGAAATACTTGACCTTCCGGCCAATGACTTCCTCAAACGTAGCACGCCAAACTGGTTTTGGGGTTTAACTAGACTTAAGTATCTAGATATATCAGCGAGTGGTCTCCATGGGCCGTTTCCCGACGAGATAGGTAATATGACCTCCATGGTTAGACTTGATTTATCAAGCAATGACCTGGTGGGCATGGTACCAACTAGCATGAAGAATCTTTGTAACTTGGAAGAGTTGTTTCTGTTTGAAAACAACATCAATGGGTGCATAGCAGAATTCTTCCAACGCTTACCTAGTTGTTCATGGAATAAGTTACAAACATTGGATCTACCTTTTACCAATCTGACTGGAAGTCTGCCAACTACGCCAGTACCCTTAAGCAACCTGACAATCCTTGATCTAAGCTGTAACAAGCTCACAGGCCCCCTGCCGTTGTGGATAGGAGAGCTCACAAAGCTAAAATCATTGTACCTTGGCTCCAACAACCTGGATGGGGTCATACATGAAGGTCATTTATCGCGTCTAGACATGCTAGACGTGTTGACATTGTCTGACAACTCCATAGCCATCGTAGTCAGCCCAGCTTGGGTTCCTGCCTTCAATCTAACAACACTTGAACTTCGATCCTGCCAGCTAGGGGCCAAGTTTCCAATGTGGCTTAGATGGCAAAGACAACTATATAGTCTCGATATATCAAACACAAGTATATCTGACATGTTGCCAGATTGGTTTTGGGTTTCAACTTCCTCAGTATTTTATATCAATATCCGAGATAATAAGATCAGAGGAGTCCTCCCATCAACAATGGAATTTATGAGAGGAATAGCAATGGATTTTAGTTCTAATCAGATCACTGGTCCAATTCCTAAGCTTCCTACAAATCTATCCAACCTAGATATCAGTAGGAACAATTTAGTAGGACCATTGCCATTAGACTTTGGAGCGTCGGGACTTCAAACACTTGTTCTGTTTGACAATTGTATCTCAGGAAACATACCATATTCTCTGTTCAAATTGCAATCACTCAGTCTGTTAGACATATCAGGAAACAATCTAACTGGGTCAGTTCCAGATTGCCTAGACAATGAATCCACAACAAACACAACTAGTCTGAGTATTCGTAACCTAAGCTTGAGAAACAACCACCTCTCTGGTGAATTTCCTTCATTTCTCCAAAGCTGCAACCTACTCATCTTTCTTGATCTTTCAAATAATCATTTCTTTGGGACTTTGCCAACATGGATTGGGCAGAAATTGACGTCGTTGGCATTCTTACGTCTGCGATCAAATATGTTTTATGGCCACATTCCAGTGGAGCTTATGAAGATCAGTAATCTTCAGTATTTGGACCTTGCCTACAACAATATAACTGGGAGCATACCAACATCCATTGTTAACTTCAAAGGGATGATACTAATGGGAGATGACGATGCTGGATATGAAGAAGCATTTGGCCATGGTTTGGCAATCGGTGATAATGAATTGGTGGACTACAGTGAGAGTACTCACAAAGGGTCAAGAGAGATTATATACAGGAGAAATCATATTTATGGTGAATCTTCATTTATCCTCAAATAATCTTGTTGGAGATATTCCTGAAGAAATTGGCAGTCTTGTCGCATTGAAGAGCCTGAACTTATCATGGAATGCGTTCGGTGGAAAAATTCCTGAGAAGATTGTTGCCTTGGTGCAAGTGGAGTCACTCGATCTATCACACAATAAGTTGTCTGGTAGAATACCTACAAGCTTATCGGCCCTCACATCATTGAGTCGCCTGAACTTATCATGGAATGCGTTCAGAGGAAAAATTCCTGAGAAGATTGTTGCCTTGGTACAAGTGGAGTCACTCGATCTATCACACAATAAGTTGTCTGGTAGAATCCCTACAAGCTTATCATGGAATGCGTTCAGAGGAAAAATTCTTCGTCACTCGATCTATCACACAATAAGTTGTCTGGTAGAATCCCTACAAGCTTATCGGCCCTCACATCATTGAGTCGCCTGAACATGTCTTACAACAATCTGACAGGAGAGGTGCCCTCCGGAAATCAGTTACAAACACTCGAGGATCCGGCATACATATATGTCGGTAACCCAGGCCTTTGCGGCCCTCTTCTCCTGTAGAAATGTCCAGGACAAGTCGAGGACCCAATCGGATTTCTGTGCTAGGCGCTGTGACCTGGGCTTCCTTGACAAGAAAATCTGCACTTTCATATGTACTAGTAGAACATATACGGGAGCTCCTATGTGCCGCTCTCTGCGGCAGACTGTCGACGTAACGCACAGGCAAATCTGTCGACTAGGCCGGCCCATCTCACTCGCGAACAGTAGATCACGCTGAAATAAAAAAGGATGCATTGCCACGATTCGAACGCTAGACCCGCCGCTTCCGAGCATACGATTAAAACCAGTTGAGCTAGCTAGCTTTCTTGATTCCAGAAAAGCGCAAAACCTTATAAGAAACTCAAACGCCGATCCGAACGTTTTCAAAAATTCAAACGCAAAACTTTTTTTTCAAAAACAAAACGTGAATGTTTTATCAAATGCGAACATCTTTATTTTTTTTGCAAATTCTGAGCAAACTCAAACATTTTTCAACATGCAAACAAATTTTGGAGACCCAAACATTTTTCTAAACGGGAACATGTTTTAAATTACCCCAAAAAACTGAACAGGAACAATTTTTCAAATTCCAAAACAAAGTTTGGAAACACGAACAACTTTTGCACGCGAACATTTTTTGAAACTCCAGAACAAAATTTGGAAACACGAACATTTTTTGAAATTTGCAAACAATTTTGGAAACTCTCGAACAAAACTTGGAAATATTAACATTTTTTGAAATTTGCAAACAAATTTTGAAACAGGAACATTTTTCAAACTACCAAAGAAATTTTGAAAACATGAACATTTTTTGAAAATTTGCGAACAATTTTGAAAATGCAAACATTTTCTTGAATCCCAAATAATTTTTGAGAAGTTGTGAAATTTTGAACAGGCACATAAAGAAAAAGAAGAAGAAGAAAAAAGAATAAATACAGAAAACAAAAAAAATTATAGGAAACTGAAAACCAGTCAAAAACAAAAAAAATGGTTCAGGAACCTTCTAGAAGGTTCCCAAAACCAATAAAGACCAGGGCTCTACCTTCCAGAAGGTTCACAAAACCGATGCAAATCTACACGTTAGCTATCTCTGATGGGCCGGCCCAGTGTTAGGTTAGGTGTTATCGCTGTGTGCGTTAGGTCGACAGTTTGACGCATATACGGTGTATGGTTCGTATAATTCCCGTCGCACAACACTCCCTCATGGGCTCAGCCCGTTTAGCTTTTTTTTTTGTTTTAAGCTTCAAATAATTAGATGTCATACGTGTGATTCGAACTGCAGCCCTCATGCACCATGCGTGAGTGCGCTAACCAGCTGGGATAGCTAATGCGATTTGCTTACTAACCTTGTTTTAAACTTCTTGTCCGAGACAGATAACGCTAAGGAAAATATGCACCAACTCTTTGGTTTTACTTTGTTTTATTTATTTTCTTCACGGTTTTTTAGTTTTCTTTTTTGTTCATAAAATACAAATATTCAAATTTTAGAAAATTGCACAGAATTTTTGAAAAAATATTCATGTCTTTCAAACTTGCTCAGAATTTCAAAAAACAAACATTTTTTAAAATGAGCGAACAAAATTTTGAAACACGTATTTAAAAAAACAGTAACAAATTCGGAATTAAAAAAATCAGAAAACACGAACAAAATTTGAATTCTGGAAATTTTGAATTTATAAGAAATAGAAATAATAAACAAAAAAATGAAAAGTCAAAGAAAACGAAAATGGAAAAGAAGAAACATAAATAACGTGGTTCACGACCTCTGAGAAGGTTCCCAAAGCCAGGAAAAAAATGGCTGGGAAGCAGAGATTCCTAAATCCGAGAACATATTGTTTTCAGTTTTATCCCTTTGTAGTTATTTTATGTTTACAATTCAAAATAACAATTTTAAATACCTATTCAAATTATTATTTTAAATACTTTTTTCCTTCAAACATACCATGGATGTCTATGATGGGCAATGCCCACTGGCTGGCAAAAGTTTGAATCATTTCAAGAATTTCCAAAAATATCATGTTCAATGTACGATGTCTGGGTAGGCCAGAAAGTTCAGTTTGAGAGCATGTTGTTTCTTGAAATCCCTCAAAAAGGGCGATAAATGGTCGAACGTGTGACAACTTACATACACTGTAGACAATGGCTCAAGCTTAGCATGAATACCTAGCATGGGCATGCCCATCTGCATGCAAAAATTTGGATCATTTCAAGGATGTCCACAAAAGACTCTGGTTTTCCTTTTCAATCAGGCTGGTTTTTTCTATAATTTTGTTTTTGCTTTTGTTTTCTTGTTTCTTGTTTCTGTTTTTGTTTCTGTTTCTTTTATTGATTTTGAAAAAAGTTCATCAAAAATTTTAAAAAAGTTCATCGATTTAGAAGAAAAGCTCATTGATTTGGAAAAGAAGTTCACAGATTTGAAAAAAGTTCATTTTCTTAGAAACAAAGTTCATCATTTATATAAATTTAATTTTAAAAAATCGCCTACTTTTGAAATAATTCACAAATTTGTGAAAACAGGAACAATTTTTGAAAAAAAGGAGTTCACCAATTTGGAAAAAAAATCAAATTTGAAATTTTGTCATCTTTTTGAAAAAATAAATCATGAAAATTAAAAAGTTCACGCATTTAAGAAAGAAAAAGGAAACAAAAAAGAAAAGGGAAAAACTAACAGAAAATATTGCGCTTTTCCAGTGTTCTATTTTAAGTCTAAAAAACTTTCTTAACACCTGAAGTCTGATCGTCCGGTTGGACAGTGCGGCTGTGCTAATAGGTGAGGGACCTGGGTTCGAGTCGTACAGCAAGCAACTTTTTTGCGGTTTCCAAAAAAAGGATGAATGGGCTGAATAGGCCAGCCCAGCGGGGTGTACCGAAGAAGAAGTGAATAATCAAAAGGATCAGCCTGGAGAACAGTATTTCTAGCTGATTTCTCGAGGCAAGTCTACAAGGAGGTTGTCCCCGTTGGAAAACCCACACCCAACTTCACTTTTTGCCTGCGATGAATCTTGCCTATGTCACTATTCAACATCTGCACGGAAGACATATAATTCTAAAGAAACCCAATCTAGTGTAATGCCTCACTTTGCCAAGAACAACATCATTTCGGTGATGTCAAGTATGCCACCACATGAACATCAATTTTGTGTGCATGTCTTCATTCATCTTGTCAAGCACAATAAGAACATAGTCTTTCCTGAAGTAATTTAACTCGTTATCCCATGGGATGCCCAAAGCAACTTTTTTGCGGTTTCCAAAAAAAGGATGAATGGGCTGAATAGGCCAGCCCAGCGGGGTGTACCGAAGAAGAAGTGAATAATCAAAAGGATCAGCCTGGAGAACAGTATTTCTAGCTGATTTCTCGAGGCAAGTCTACAAGGAGGTTGTCCCCGTTGGAAAACCCACACCCAACTTCACTTTTTGCCTGCGATGAATCTTGCCTATGTCACTATTCAACATCTGCACGGAAGACATATAATTCTAAAGAAACCCAATCTAGTGTAATGCCTCACTTTGCCAAGAACAACATCATTTCGGTGATGTCAAGTATGCCACCACATGAACATCAATTTTGTGTGCATGTCTTCATTCATCTTGTCAAGCACAATAAGAACATAGTCTTTCCTGAAGTAATTTAACTCGTTATCCCATGGGATGCCCAAAACATCTTGCAAGCCCATATCGCAAATCCCCAACAAACGTACACCACATTACCGCATGAAAGATGTGTTTTAGTTCGGTACCGCAAACATTGCAAATTGGTGATAGAGTTGGTATCCACTTGCATCGATTAGTGTGTATCAGAAGGGATACATTGGCTAGCTTGCACGCAAAAACATGAACCTTCAGGGGCACTAGGTGAAGGAAATATGCCCTAGAGGCAATAATAAAGTTATTATTTATTTCCTTATATCATGATAAATGTTTATTATTCATGCTAGAATTGTATTAACGGGAAACATAATACATGTGTGAATACATAAACAAACAGAGTGTCACTAGTATGCCTCTACTTGACTAGCTCGTTAATCAAAGATGGTTATGTTTCCTAACCATGAACAAAGTGTTGTTATTTGATTAACGAGGTCACATCATTAGTTGAATGATCTGATTGACATGACCCATTCCATTAGCTTAGCACCCGATCGTTTAGTATGTTGCTATTGCTTTCTTCATGACTTATACATGTTCCTATGACTATGAGATTATGCAACTCCCGTTTACCGGAGGAACACTTTGTGTGCTACCAAACATCACAACATAACTGGGTCATTATAAAGGAGCTCTACAGGTGTCTCCAAAGGTAGATGTTGGGTTGGCGTATTTCGAGATTAGGATTTGTCACTCCGATTGTCGGAGAGGTATCTCTGGGCCCTCTCGGTAATGCACATCACATAAGCCTTGCAAGCATTGCAACTAATGAGTTAGTTGCGGGATGATGTATTACAGAACGAGTAAAGAGACTTGCCGGTAACGAGATT